ACATGGACTTAGCTTCCCATTGTTGAAACTGTCATCGTTGCTGTGGCAGCACTTGTAAACATTCTCTCTAGGAACTTTGAGACAAAGCTGCTGAGAGACTGCAAAGACTCCTCTGCTGCTGGTTCAAACAAGAATCTGCTCATTTAGGTATTGGGCTTTCTTTGCGATGGGAGAGGCCTGAAAAGTGACCTGTAGTGATTCTATTAATCCAGACCCCCAAAAAAGCTAGTGGGAGGGACACCCAAGAATGGTGTTGTATCCATTAATGGGTGAAAATAAAAAAAACTTCCTTCTTTCCTTCCTCAGTCCCTCCCTTTCTGGTTTGTTGTTGTTTTAGAGAGAGGGACTTATGTAACCCAGTCTGGCTTCATACTTGCTATGTAGCCAAAAATTGCTTTGGAAGGCTATGTTTCTTCCAGCAGACAGACCTGTTTTCCACCAGCTGCAGAAAGAGGAAACTGAGATGGAGGTGAACTGAGCTGAAAATGAAAATAGCAAGGCCTAAATGCACATTAGTCTGTAATTATTTCAGCAATCCTCGAAGGGTATTCACATCATTTTTTGATTGATGGTCATGGGAACTTGGTGGCCTTGTGCTGTGTCTACCTGTATCCTTGGGACCAATGATGCTGAAAAGGGAAATAAGCGTTGCCTTTCATGAAAGGGGTTTACAGGAAGAGTGAGATAGCTCAGTGGATAAAGGTGGTCCCAAAGACTAGCATGGCAGAAGGAGAGAAACAACTCCTGCAAGTCACCCTTTGACCTCCACATATGTGCTGAGTCACCCATGACCCACCCACCCCCAGTATAAGAAATAAATACAAAAAAATATAAATAAAAAAGAGGCTTGCAGAAACGAGCACATTCTGGACTATATGGAGGTCAGAAATGGTTCCTGGAAGCCTCTATTTTATTTTTCAAGACAGGATTTCTTTGTGTGGCAACTTGCTCTGTAGACCAGGCAGGCTTCTAACTCATTTAGAGCTGACTGCCTCTGCCTCCCAGGTACTGGAGTTAAAGGTGTGTGCCACCATACAGAGCTATAAGTGTGTTTTTTAATTTATATTTTTGCATTTATTTATTTTCTTTTTTTCCATTTTTAATTTTAATTTTTATTAATTATACTTTATTCACTTTGTATCCCCCCCATGGTCCCCACCCTCCTCCCCTTCCAATCCAACCCTCCCTCACCCTTCTCCACACATGCCCCTCCCCAAGTCCACTGATAGGGGAGGTCTTCCTCTCCATCCTTCTCATCCTAGTCTAGCAGGTCTCATCAGGAGTGGCATTGTCATCCTCTGTGGCCTGGTAATGCTGCTCCCCCCTCAGGGGGAGGTAATTAAAGAGCAGGCCAATCAGTTCATGTCAGAGGCAGTCCCTGTTCCTATTACAATGGAACCCACTTGGACACTGAACTGCCATGGGCTACATCTGTACAGGGGTCTTAGGTTATCTCCATGCAGGGTCCTTGGTTGGAGTATCAGTCTCAGAAAAGGCCCCTGTGCCCAGATTTTTTTGGTTCTGTTGCTCTCCTTGTGGAGCTCCTGTCCTCTCCAGGTCTTATTATTTCTTTTCTTATCACCTATATCATCTGGCTCACAACTGCGGGTAACTTCAACTTCAGTTCCAGGGGATCCAACAGGTGTTGAATCTTTCTAGTCTCCACAGTCTCCTAGATAAACACAGTACACTTACATACACTCATGCAAGGCACATACACACACATATTAAAAGAAATAAACATTTTTTAGAGTTATCACACTAAAATTAGCATAGTTGGTAAAGGAAATAAAATGATGTGGCCACAATAGAGAGAGACAAAGGGTAGTTCAGCTTGCTGAGGCTTGCAGCAGTTGGGGCAAATGGGAGTTAGGGGCAGAAGTGACCAAACTGAGAAGTTGTGTAAGACAGCATCCCTGAGAAGCTGGAAGCTTCTCCAGGCCTCCAGTCATAGGTGCACCATAGAGGAGGGCCATCAGGGAATATAGTTTCCCTCAGCATGCTCTTTCTAGTGTGTGGCCTCCCACGGACACTAGAGGGCACTAGACGGCCATTTCTTAGGGACTACTCTGGTCATCCATCCATCCAGTAAAGCAGAAGCCAGGGGAGAGTGGATGGGAATGTAGCCAGTGTCCATCTCATTCATAGAGTCTGGGTAGTTAAATGAAATATGATACATTAAACATTCCAAAATTGGGATCTTTAGATCCCAATTTTGGAATGTTTAATGTATCATATTTCATTTTTTTTTCAAAAAAAATATATATTTTTTTTAAATAAGGAAAAAAGAAAAAAGAAATAAAGGAAGGAAGGAAAGAGAAAGGAAAGGAAAAGAAAAAGAGAGAGAGAGAGAGAGAAAGAAAGAAAGAAAGAAAGAAAGAAAGAAAGAAAGGAAGGAAGGAAGGAAGGAAGAAAAAGAGAAGAAAGGAAGGAAGAAAGAAAATGATCTCTGTTTGGAAAGAAATCTACTGCCTTTCCCTCCCTTCATTTAAAGATTTGCTGGCAAGGAGGCTGGGAATGGTGTTTTACACCTTTAATCAGGCAGGTAGATGGATCGTTGTGAGTTTAAGGCCATCCTGGTCTATACATGGAGCTCAAGTAAGCCAATAAGACAATAAGATCCCATCTAAGGAGAAGAGGAAAAGGAGGAGGAAGAGGAAAAAGAATTATTTGTTACAAGCATGCTAAAAATGCTTTCTCAGAAGTGAAAAGTTTTAAGCAGTAGCAAGAAAAGTGAGTCCAAGACTCAAAGGGCAAAGGTGTATAAAGGGAAAAGAATTTTCCAATGGGCCCTCCCCTGTTATGTGATAGACACCTGTCTGTAACACCAAGAAAGCCATTGTTAACATTATCAATAGATGCTGAAGGTATTTAGAAAACACGAGCTGCATTTATGATTTTTTTTTCAAAAGTCTTCAAGCAGGAACAAAAATTTTCCTTTTATAATTAAAAGATTTGGTTATATTTTTATTTTATATGTATGAGTGTTTTGCCTGCATGTATGTCTGTGCACCACAGGTGTGCCTAGCGCCTGCAGAGATCAGAAGAGGGCATCAGATCCCTTGGAACTGGAGTTATAGACAGTTGTGAGTTGCCAGGCAGACGGTAGGAATCAAACCCTGGTTCTCTGGAAGAGTAGGCAATGCTCTTAAACACTGAGCCAACTCTCCAGCTCTATTCACTTTTGTTTTTAAAGACAGGGTATCACTATGTAGCACAAGCTGGTCTCCAAATCATAATTCAATTCTCCTGCCTCAGCCTTTCAACTACTGGGACAGGCATATGCCATATCACCATGCCCAGTTCAAATGTTCTCTCTGTCTCTGTCTCTCTGACTCTCTCTCTCTCTCTCTCTTTCTCCAGGGTCTCATGTAGCTCAGGATGGTTCCAAATAGGCTATGTAGCTAAGGATGATGTTGAACTTCTGATCCACTTGCCTCTCATTCCCAGGTGCAGTTGCAGATGTGCATGCAGTAACACACCTGGATTATGCGTATTTTTATCGTTTGTTTGGTTTGGTTGGTTGGTTGGTTTGAGGGGCAGCCCTTAGGTAGCCTAACATATACTATGTAGCCCCAATTGGGCTTGAACTTGTAGCAATCTTCCTACCTTAGCCTCCCAATTGGTATTTGCCCTATTCCCAGCTTTAAATCTTAGCTCATACACCAGCATCCTCCTAAGTGGGGCAATAACAGAAAGTGGTATCTACTGAATCTGGATACAAAGGAGGATACTCATCAACTTGACTTCCATTTAAGCGTTAGTCAAAGCTAATAAACACAAGAGATACATATGTTCAGGAAAAGAGATGGTAAAAATAATAGTTTCTTTGACATAACAGATTATATACCTGGAAAAGTCAAAATGGAAACACCAATCTGCTGTGTGCCTCTTGATTCATTACGTGTGTGTGTGTGTGTGTGTGTGTGTGTGTGTGTGTGTGTGCATGTGTGTGTTGCTAGAGATGGTATCCAAGGATTCCCAAGGCTAGGTAAGTGTTCGACTACTGGAATACACTTTTATTCCCTTGATTCACTACTTAAAAAAATAAAAACAAAAGTCATGTGCCGAGTGCAGTGAAGCACACCTTTAATCCCAGCACTCAGGAGACAGAAGCATACACATCTCTGAGTCTGAGGCCAGCCTGGTCTCAAAGTGAGTTCCAGGAAAGCCAAGGACACACAGAGAAACCCTGTATCAAAAAAACAAAAAAGTCATGCTGGGGCTAGAGAGCATGTATTGCTCTTCCAGAGGACCTAAGTTTGGTTTCTAGCACCCACATCAGGTGGCTTACAACCACCCATAACCACAGCTCCAGGGCAATCTGAAGCCTTCTTTTGGCATCTCCAGGAACATGCATCCACATGCACAAACAAACCCACATACATATAATTAGAAATGAAAACAGAATCTTACAAATAGTCTCGTGCCCTTAGATGCTCAAAGCATGGACTGAGGTTCTTTTAGAGTCAGTATTTGGGGTTATTATTCAAAGATTCTAGAAATTCCTCTGTTTTTAAGTCTTCACATTTTGAAGAATGGAAAATCCTTGGTTTTCAGGAAATATCCATCTCAACAGGCAGATAAAAAGGTTAAGATCCCATCCTTCATTCCCAGTCTCTTCTCAAAAGGCAGCAAATATTGCCTGAGTGTTTTGTTCCTTCAGGAGACAGAGTATAAGTGCTGGAGGAATGACTCTGTGTTTTTCATCCCTTGTTGCCCTTATAGAAGACCCCAGTTGGATTCCCAGCATCCACATGGTGGCACAAAACAATCAGTAACTCCTGTTACAGAGAATTCAGTGCATTCTTCTAATCTCTGTGGGTACCAGGCAAACACATGGTGCACAGACATGGAAGCAGGCAAAACATTAATACACATAAACTAAATAACTAAAAGCATTTTTAAAAAGAGAGCATATACTTATATGAGTGTATTTAAGGCCTGTAACCCCTGCAGACAGTAAATTCTTGATTTTTTTTTAACCCAGGCAAAATAAAATGGATAACAAAAAAAGGCACCTAAGCCAGAGGGTGAAGGGTGTGGAGAGTACTAACACAGCCAAAACAAAGAAACCGGAGGCTCCAGAACCCAAGAATGTTACAGAGCCAAAAGACAGTAGAACCATGCCAGAACCAAAAAAGTCTGTGACAGATCAGAAAGAGAAGAAGAGAATGTCCATCAG